CAACATTAAATGACAGTATTAAACTCACATATATTGTTATTAATTCTAAATTTAAATCGACTAAATCCCCCAATCCAAAGACACAGACAGGCAAAAAAGCCAAGACCCATTGGTATGCTACATCCAGATCCATCTCACATGCAAGGATACACAAAGACTCAAAACAAAGGGATGGAGAAAAATTTACCAACCAAATGGAGAGCAAAAATAAATAAATAGAAAGCAGGAGTTGCAATTTTTGCTGATAAAATACACATTAAAGCAACAAAGATCAAAAGATGCAAAGAAGGATATTACATAATGATAAAAGGATCAATGTAACAAGAAGAGCTAAAGATCCTAAATATATATGCACCCAATACAGAAATACCCAGATATATAAGACTTATAAAGAGACTTGGACTCCCACACAATAATAGTGGGAGACTTCAACATCAATATTAGATCAATGAGACAGAAAGTTAACATCGATATTCAGGACTTGAACTCAGATCCGGAACAAGTAGACTTAATTAACATTTTTAGAACTCTCCACTTAAATACATAAAATATACACTCTTATCAGTACTACATCACACCTATATACAGGTTTAAATGAAATATTGGTTGGCTGCTTGTTAATTATTTTCTTCCCTTTTTTTTTTTTAATGTCTCTATTATTAAACACAATTACAGGCATACCCATTTTTAGACTGCATTCTAGCCTGTGCAATAAAGCAACACCCCTGTTCTCTCTCCCTCTTCCTCTTTCTTCCTTTCCTTCATTCTTTTTTTTAATTCTTTCCTCTTTCTTTCTTTCTTCCTCTAAAAAAAAAAAAAAAGAGAGAAAGAAAGTAAGAGAGAGAGAGACAGGGAAAGAAAGGAAAGACAGGGAAAGGAGAGGGGAAGAGAAGGGAGAGGAGGGGAGGGGAGAAGCTAAAAGCTAGTGCTAGAAGCGACAGTCTGCCACTTCTGGGCCTAGACTTGAAGAAATCCAAAAGCTTGTTTTCAATCTTGGAAGCCAGCCACCATGCTATGAGGAAGTCCAGCTGTCCTGCTGAAGAGAGACCTCTTGGAGATCCCGGGGGATAAGGCAGCATATGGAGAGAGAAAGAGGCCACACAGAGGAGCACCGAGGCCCCAGACATGTGAGCAAAACCTTCCGGGAGCTTCCAGCCCAGCCCAGTCACCAGCTGACTGTATGCAAGTGTGTCACCCTACCCTGTAGACCCAGCTTAGCCCTGACCAAATTTCTGACTCAGAGAATCTTAAGAAAAAATAAATATGTCTAGAGTTTATTGTATTGTTCTTTTTCAAAGAGCAAGTTTTATGTTTTTTTAAATCAGATTGACATCTAATTTCTTGTTTTCTTTTCTTACTTAAAGATGGGGTCTTGTTATGTGGCCCTGGCTGAAGTGCAGTGGCTGTTCACAGCCGTGATCATAGCATACTGCAGCCTTGAACTCCTGGCCTCCAGGAATCCTCTCACCTCAGCCTCCTGAGCAGCTCAGACTACAGGCCTGTGCCATTACACCTGGCTTAATACTTGATTTCTAAAACTATGGTATAGCCATCAAGAAAAACAGAACACATACCACACCAATGAGAGAAAGAGAAAACAAAACAGAACACAGAAATATGACAGACTAGATTCAAAGCCTACTTACACCAGGCGCAGTGGCTCATGCCTGTAATCCCAACACTTTGGCAGGCTGAGGCAGGTGGATCACCTGAGGCTGGGAGTTCAAAACCAGCCTGACCAACATGGAGAAACCCCATCACTACTAAAAATACAAAATTAGCCAGGCGTGGTGGCGCATGCGTCTAATCCCAGATACTTGAGAGGCTGAGGCAGGAGAACCACTTGAACCCAGGAGGCAGAGGCTGTGGTGAGCCAAGATCATGCCATTGCACTCCAGCCTGGGCAACAGAGCAAAACTTCATCTCAAAAAAAAAAAAAAAAAAAAGCCTACTTAGCTCTGTTTTGTTGAGCAAATTGCTGAATCTCCCTGAACTTCAGTGTTTTCCCCTGTAAAGTGGAACTACCATTTACTGAAAATAAAATGCCAGCACGGTGCCAAGCATTTTATTTTTATTATTTATTTATTTTTTAATAAAAAAAATTTAAAAAGGCACCCAACGTGGGCTGCAAACCCACGACCCTGGGATTAAGAGTCTCATGCTCTACCGACTGAGCTAGCTGGGCTATTATTTATTTATTTATTTTGAGACAGTGTCTTGTTGTCTAGGCTGGAGTGCAGGCAGTGACACGATCTTGGCTCACTGCAACCCCCACCTCCTGGGTTTAAGCGATTCTCCTGCCTCAGGCTCCTGAGTAGCTGGGATTACAGGCACCCACCATCATGCCGAGCTAATTTTTGTATTTTTAGTAGAGACAGGGTTTCACCATGTTGGCCAGGCTGGTCTCAAACTCCTGACCTCAGATCCACCCACCTCAGTCTTCCAAAGTACTGGGATTATAGGTGTGAGCCACTGTGCCTGGCTGCCAAGCATTTTAAATAGAGCTCTGTATTCATTCCATATTTTAAAACAGTATACACAAAGGATCTGATTTAATGGCTGATAATGATATCTCCTCAGTGACAGCTGCCGTTATTATTGTTATGAGTTTCCAAGTTAAACTTTCTATGACTTATAGGAGAGAGCCCTCCACCCTCATCCTGGTGCCTACTCATCTGTCATCCCCCTGGGACCAGGTAGGGACTAGACCCAGAGTCCTGCCATTCCCAGGAAGATCAAACAAAAGAAGATCCCAGGAATCTTTTTTTTTTTTTGGTCACCCAGGCTGGAGTGCAGTGGCGTGAACGTGGCTCACTGCATTTTTGACCTCCTGGGCTCAAGTGATCCTCCCCCCTTAGCCCCCGCAAGCAACTGGGACCACAGCCGCACACTACCACATCCGGCTAATTTTTGCATTTTGGGTAGAGACAGGGTTTCACCATGTTTCCTAGGCTGCTCTTGAATTCCTAGGCTCAAGCAATCTGTCGGCCTCAGCCTCCCAAAGTGCTGGTATTACAGGTGTGAGCCACTGCACCCTGCAACATCTGGAATCTTTCTAGCACCAAAGGGAGTCAAGCATGAGAAATAAGGATATTCACCTGTCAAAGGGCTTGTGCGCAAGGCGGCTGTGTGAAAATGGAGATGATGGGCACTGGTGATAAAGGGCTACTTGCCCAGCCTAAACTGAGGTATTGCCTCCTCTCTAGCCCCCTGCCTCCAAAGTTGCCTGTTGCATCTGTTCACACAGCCACAAGAGCACCCTTGCTAAAGCAGATTAAACCACTGGGCCTCAGTCTTGATTGGCAGCTGGGCACGGCTCATGCCTGTAATCCCAGCACTTTGGGAGGCCAAGGTGGGCAGACCACAAGGTCAGGAGTTCGAGATCAGCCTGGCCAACGTGTTGAAACCCAGGCTCTACTAAAAATACAAAAATTAGCTGGGTATGATGGCAGATGCCTATAATCCCAGCTACTCTGGAGGCTGAGTCTTGAACCCAGGAAGCAGAGGTTGCAGTGAGCCGAAATTGTATCATTGTACTTCAGCCTGTGTGACAGAGCAAGACTCCATCTGGGGAGGTGGGGGTGAGGATGGGGAAGTCTTGATTGGCTCCCCTTTGCCTTCTAAATGAATACTATGCAGACAAAGCCCTACCTTCCTCTCCACTCTGCTATTTCCGTTTGCGATCCTAGAAACATACCAGTGAATTCTCACCTTCCCTCCTTGAATTATGTCCTTCTCCCTCCGTAAAAATTAACCCTGCTCCTCCTGTCTGTCCACCTCCTGCTTGTCCTGCAGGTTTCAGCTTAGATGTCACTTTCTCCAAGAAGCCTTCCTGGGTTCCCCCAGACCCAGTTAGGTTCCACAGGGTCCTGTCCTTACCTCTATCACAAGGCTAAGGCTCATAGCTACCCATAACAGTGTCTGGCTCACCACTGGTGCTCAGGAAGTGCACATTGAATGGATGAATTAATATATAAGTAATTCCTACAACACTGTGGCACCCTTTTTCATTGCTCTGTATGTCTCCTCAACTAGAGGAGAAGGTCTTAAAGGCAGGAAGCTCTCATCCAACTTTATAGGCCTGCTGCCCAGTGCTGTGTGAACACATAGGAAGTATCCAACAAATGTTTTTTTGCTTTTTGTTTTTCGAGATGGAGTTCACTCTTGTCACCCAAGCTGGAGTGCAGTGGCGTGATTTCAGCTCACTGAAACCTCCGACTCCTGGGTTCACGTGATTCTCCTGCCTCAGCCTCCCTAGTAGCTGGGATTACAGGCACGTACCACCACACCTGGCTAATTTTGTATTTTTGGTAGAGACAGGGTTTCTCCATGTCAGTCAGGCTGGTCTCAAACTCCTGACCTCAAGTGATTCGCCCACCTTGGCTGGGATTACAGGCATAAGCCACTACGCCAGGCCTTGTTTTTTGGTTTTGTTTGGTTTTGGTTTTGAGACAGAGTCTTGCCCTGTCACCCAGGCTGGAGTACAGTGGTGTGATCTTGGCTCACTGTAACCTCCACCTCCCAGGTTCAAGCAATTCTCCTGCCTTGGCCTCCAGAGTAGCTAGGATTACAGGTGCATGCCACCATGCCTGGTTAATTTTTTGTATTTTTAGTAGAGACAGGGTTTCCCCATGTTGGCCAGGCTGGTCTCGAACTCCTGACCTCAGTTGATCCACCCATCTCGGCCTCCCAAAGTGCTGGGATTGCAGGTGTGAGCCACGATGCCCAGTCCAACAAATGCTTGTTGAATGTTTGGATGAACACCTGAGAAGGTGATGGATGAACAGTCAGATAAATGGATGAGCGGATACACTGGTAACTAAACTGGTATTTGTTTCCATCTATGTCTTTTGGGATCATCATTTTCTGAAGAAACTGAAGAACCCAAGGCAGCTCTGCAGTGAACATAAAACCCACCAGTCAGTCCTCAAGCCCCCACCACACCACCTCCTCTGGTGGCCCTAAAAACCCGTACTCCCCTCAACACCCCATGTACACACCTGGTCCTTGGGCTCTTGGCTAACCAGCCAGAAGAGGAGGAGGTTGTTACAGCTGATGTTGACTTCAGGAAGGGTATCTAGGTAAGTCTTCAGGGTGGTAGTCCCCTTGGTCTCGGGAGGGGGCTGCCTCATGGATGATGGAGCATTGGGTATCCAGGCCCCAAAGTCATGCTGTGGAGACCCCCATCCCAGTTGGGTCAGTGGGCCAGAAGGGAAGCATCAGCTCCCTCTTCATGACCCGGATCCCACCTCTACCATCCGAGGGGTGATTGTTGGGAAATGAGGGGATCATGGAAAGAGAGGAAGGGGTAGGGAATGGAAAGTCCCAGAGGTGGGGCAGGAGGCCAGCTTACTCCCTGTACTCCCCACCCAGTGTTCCAGCCTGGGTAGAGTGAGTCACTAGGGAAGGAGGTGGCCCCAGAGTGGAGGTAATCCTAGAAAAGGGCCTTGGGCTGGCATGCCATACAGAGCAAGCTGATACTCCACTGGGCTGGGTTCTAACCATGAGAGGAGCCCCCAAGTTCTACCCCAAATTAAGCTCAACTTGAGTCGCCATTACGATCTTGAACCCGCTCCACCCAGTTATCACCCAGTGCCAGCCTTTCACCCCACTCAGTTGCCACTCCAACCCCAAGCCTCATCATAAACCCACTGCAACCCTGACCCACCCATGCTCTCAACCCAAACACAGGCTTAGGTCCACTGCTGACACTTGATGTCCCCAGGCCTGCCCTTTGCAGCCTCACCTGCCCACTGTTGACAGCAGCGTGCTGGGCAGAGCAATTGAAGATGATTGCAGTGAGGAACTTCACCAGCTCTCCTGGGGTGCACAGCCGGCTTGGGAAGCCTGGGTGTGGGGAGGAAGGGTAGAGGGTGTGGATGGAAGGTACTGGATTCCTAGGGCCAGCTCAGGGCTGGGGCTTACCACAGGGGAAAGTGAGGAAGTAAGGAATGCCTAGCCATGACTGTCTTAAGACTCAGATTAGGGTTGGGCTGAAGTTAGGGATGGCCATGACTGATGGTTGGTCTCCAAAGTGGGTCAGGGTAGGAGATGGAGGCTGGGATCTGGCCAGAAAATCCCCGGCATGCAGGGCCAATGACAGAGCCAGGTTCAACCCAAGTGCCCGGCTGCCTCTTCCTGACTTCCAAGGCACATCCACCTGCAGCCCCAGTTAGCATGCAATGATTTAATTCTACCCAATTCACCAAGATTTGTTCAAGCACCCAGTATCCAACCATCCTCTGCTGGGCTTAGCAGCAGAGACCAGTGACCACAGGGCATGTTGCTCACAAGCTCACAGTGACAGAAGCAGAAAGAAGCTCCTAAGGCCAGAGCTTGCTCTTTGAGGAGAGGGCAGGCAGGACAAAAAGGGGCACAAGGAGCAGAGTGGTTAGTGGAGGCCTCCTGGAGGACAAGAGGGTCCTCGTGAGTTGAAAAACAGGTCAGCCTTGAACAGAGAAAAAAAAAAAAAAAAAAAAGTATTTCAGGCTGGAGAGGGGAGAGCTCCAAGGCTCAGCCCTTGGTCCTCTTCACTCTGTGCCTCACTAATCTCATCCAAGTCCATGGCTCTAACCATCTCTCACTCGCCAACTCCCAAATTCCCGTCTCCGGCTACGCCTGGCTCCTGGGCTCCAGACTCAGCCGTGGGCATTACCCTGCAGCGGCTCACCTGATGCCCCACCTGCGCATCTACATCACCTCACACTGCACAGCAGCGAGAACATACGCCCGTCAGATTGTCACACTTCGATAAAACCCCTGGAGGGCTTCCCATCTCACTCACCTTGCTATGGCCCTGCTGGATCTAGCCCCAGCCCCTTCTCTCACTTCTTTTCCTTCCTGGCTTTTCACTTATTCGACTCCAGCCACGCAGGCCTTCCTGATATTTCTCAAACGCACCAGCACATTCAGACTTCGGGGCCTGTACACTCACAATGTCTCTGCCCACTACCCCCAGAAGTAGCACCTGCATTTCCTTCAGGTCTTCGCCCTGACCACCTCCCTGAACTAATCTCCCTACCTTGACACACTATATTCCGTGATGCTCTCTCAGTTTTCCTCTTCACATTCATAACCACCTGACATACTTGTTTGCTGATGATCTCTCTCCAAAAGAATGTGAAGCTCCACTAAGGCTAGAATTTTTGTCTTTTTCACCACTAAACCTCAGCATCTAGAACAAGAGTTAATCAATACCAAGGTCCTGGTAATTACTGGCTGAATGAAACAAATGCATGAGAGGGTAAGAAGCCACAGCATGGGGCAGAGGTGGGAAGATCGCTTGAGCCCAGGAGTTCGAGACCAGCCCGGGCAACATAGCAAGACCCTGTCTCTACAAAAAAAAAATTTTTTTTAATTAACTGGATGTGGTGATGTAGTGGTGTGTGCCTGGGTAGTCCCAGCTACCAGGGAGGCTGAGGTTGAGGATCATTTGAGCCTGGGAGGTCAAGGCTGCAGTGAACCATGGTCATGCCACTGCACTCCAGTCTGAGTCAGAGTAAGACCCTGTCTCCAAAAAAAATAAGCCAGAGTGGGAAGGCATGGGGCATCAGCAGGGTGAGGGAGCAGGGAGGGACCTAACTGGAGGTGGTGACGCTACAGCGGCGTGCAGGGCCATGTGGTTTCTGGGCAGTATTCCAGAGGATTAGCAGGGTGGTGGCCCTGCAGGCTTGGCGGGCAAACACCGAGGGGCTGGGGGAGGTTGAGAAGCAGCTGCTACAATTCAAGAGCACTGTAAGGGAGGCTATGATAAGGGTGGTGACAATAGAGATCAGCCACCTAACTGGATTTAGGAAGAGAGAGAGGGACACATGAGTCAAAGAGAACTAAGGTTTGGAGTCAGGCCGACTGGGCAGAGGCTGATGAATAGAACAGAGAGACTGGGAGGAAAGATCCGACATCTTCCTGGGAGTGTGTGGGAGTTTTCTAAATGCTCTGCTCTTGGATGAGTCTCTCAACTCGGAGGCTGAGAACAAAAAAGCAAAGCAGGTAGACACACCTGTAGTGTCAGCTATTTGGAAGGCTGAGATGGAGGATCGATTGAGCTCAGCAGTTTGAGACCAGGCTAAGCAACAGAGCAAGTCCCTGTCTCCAAAAAAAAAAAAAAAAAAAAAAAGAAAAAAAAAAAAAAAAAAGAAGAGGTCAGATCATCTAAGGAAATTTTTCTGTAGTTCATATTGCCTATATTTCCCCCATTGGAATATGGAACCTGACCAGCATAGTGAAAAAAACCCATCTCTACTAAAAATACAAAAATTTTCCAGGCACGGTGGAGTGTGACTGTAGTCCCAGTTACTAGGGAGGCTGAGACAGGAGAATCGCTTGCACTGGGAGGTGGAGGCTAACAAGTGTGTTTTGCCTTTTTAAATGCTGTATGTGAATCTAGAATAGGTTTGTACTCGTTGGAAGAGCTGTTATCAATCTGAAGAGTGTTCCGATGCATTAAATCAGAGACAAATGTAATAAAGTAAGATAGAGGAGTTGAATTAACAGTAATTAGATCCCCCGTTGGGTCTTAAGTAGGAAACAAACACACCCAAATATAAAACAACTGCCTAAGGAGGAGGAGCTGTCAGGATCAAGACTGCTCATGATTAACAGCAGGTTTGCAAAACACAAGGAAGAGTCACCCTTTAAAAACTCAAAGGCCAGGTGCGGTGGCTCACGCCTATAATCCCAGCATTTTGGGAGGCCGAGGTGGGCAGATCACCTGAGGTCAGGAGTTCAAGACCAGCCTGGCCAACACGGTGAAACTGTGTCTCTACTAAAAACACAAACATTAGCCAGGCGTGGTGGCAGGTGCCTGTAATCTCAGCTACTTGGGAGACTGAGGTAACAGAATCACTTGAACCTAGGAGGCAGAGGTTGCAGTGAGCCAAGATTCTGCTGCTGCACTCCAGCCTGGGCGACAAAGCAAGACTCTGTCTCAAAAAATAATAAGAAAAACAAACTCCAAAAGAGTTATGGCTGTCACCACCTTAACCCAGAAATCACTCTCAGCATCACTAATAGTGAGACAACCTGACATTATATGCATCCCAATATGATGCAATGCAGAGGACACAGCATCACCTGAGAAATATTCTTGCCAAAAGTATTAAACCTTCAGACATGACTTCTGTTTACAAAAAACACGGGAGACAGCCTAGCCAACATGGTGAAACCCTGTCTCTACTAAAAATACAAAAATCAGCTGGGTGTGGTGGCACACACCTGTAAATCCAGCTATTCAGGAGGCCGAGGCACAAGAATCACTTGAACCCAGGAGGCGGAGGTTACCATGAGCCAAGATCGCACCACTGAACTCCAGCCTGGGTGATGGAGTGAGACTCTGTCTCAAAACAACAAAAAACAGGAGACAGAGGAATAAGGTGAGTTACATCATGAGGAAGCAATTAGATAAATTCAGAAGATGAAGCATTCTGCAGAACAGCTAGTCTAGGCTCTTCAATTAGTCTATGTCACGTGATTTTAGGAAGCAGAGCAGGAAGAGGAGCTGTTCTAAGTTGAGAGACTCTGGAGTTGAAACCAAAACAAAAGAGCACGTGGTCCTTGGTTGGCTCCTGAATCAATAGGGAACAGCGGGGAGGAAATGGGTCAAATGGGGGAATTTGTTTTTATTTATTTGAGAGGGAGTCTCTGTTGCCCAGGCTGGAGTGCAGTGGGGCGATCTTGGCTCACTGCAACCTCTGCCTCCTGGGTTCAAGAGATTCTCCTGCCTCAGCCTCCCAAAAGTAGCTGAGATTACAGATGCCCAACACCATACTCGGCTAATTTTTGTATTTTTAGTAGAGACAGGCTTTCACCATGTTGATCAGGCCGGTCTTGAACTCCTGACCTCAAATGATCTGCCCACCTCAGCCTCCCAAAGTGCTGGGATTACAGGCGTGAGCCACTGTGCCCGGCCAAATGGGGAAATTTGAATATGGACTAGATATGAAAATGACATTGGATAGTAGTGTCAATTTTGGTTTTGTGTGATGACAATATTGCAGTTATATAGAAAAATGTCAATTTCTGCCAGGTATGGTAGCTCACACCTATAATCCCAGCACTTTGGGAGGCCGAGGAAGGTGGATCACTTGAGGTCAGAAGTTCAAGACCAGCCTGGCCAACATGGTGAAACCCTGTCTCTACTAAAAATACAAAAGTTAGCTGGGCATGGTGGCATGAGCCTGTAATCCCAGCTACTCAGGAGGCTGAGGCATGAAAACTGCTTGAACCAGGGAGATGGAAGTTGCAGTGAGCCAAGATCACGCCACTGCACTCCAGCCTGGGTGGCAGAGACTCTTCTAAAAAAAAAAAAGAAAGAAAAAGAAAAATGTCTATTTTTAAGATGCATATTGAACAGGGGTGAAATAAGATGACTGTAACTTACTTTAAAGGGCTTCAGCAATAAACAAATGCAACAGATTTGATATGGCAAAACGTTGGCAATTGCTGAATCTAGCGGTGGGTAAATGGGTGTTCATTACACTATACTCTGCTTTTCTGTATATCTGAAAAAACTTTTGTTTAAAAAGAAAAGTCTCTAAGCCCATTACAGGGCTGCAATAGCTGTTCATTCTATTTGGAGGTGACTTGAGACCATCCCTTCTCTCTCGGGCTCCCCATACAGGAACTTCTCTAGGTGGCCTCTGGAAGGACTAAGTAAGCTTAAAAGCCACATTCCTGCTGACAGAAGTCCCAGGCCAGGTCTGGAGGATGGACAATTGTGCCACTCTGAGCTTTCCCTTTTCTTCCACTACCCCCACATAGACAGGCTTCTACTTTTTTTTTTTTTTTTGAGACAGAGTCTCACTCTTGTCGCCCAGGCTGAAGTGCAGTGGCACAATCTTGGCTCACTGCAACCTCCGCCTCCTGGGTTCAAGCAATTCTCCTGCCTCAGCCTCCTAGGTAGCTGGGACTACAGTCACATGCCATCACACCCAAATTTTTAGTAGAGATGGGATTTCACCACATTAGTCAGGCTGGTCTCCAACTCCTGACACCTCAGGCGATCCACCCACCTCGGCCTCCCAAAGTACTGGGATTACAGGCCTGAGCCACTGCATATGGCTTCTACATTTTTGCGTGGCAGAATACAAACTGCAAAATACAGTGTCGCTAGGTAGGTAGCTACAAAGAGCAGCAATGGGCTGTGTAACCTAAGCATAGCCAGACCTCGCTGTATGGAGGGGTGACCATGCAGCTGTCATGTGCTGGGCTTAAGGGTGACAATAAGACATCAAAAAGAAAAATTCTGGCTGGGCATGATGGCTCATTCCTATAATCCTAGCACTTTGGCAGGCTGAAGCTAGAGGATTGCCTGAAGCCAAAAGTTCAAAACCAGCCTGGGCAAAAAAGCAAGACCACCCCCCTCGTCTGTACCAAAAACAAAAGAAGAAAAGGCTGACTTGGCATACTGCCTACGAGTTAGCAATGCTCCACAAGGCACAATTTAAAAATAAAAATTTGGCCGGGCGCAGTGACACACGCCTGTAATCCCAGCACTTTGGGAGGCCGAGGTGGGTGGATCACAAGGTCAGGAGTTCGAGACCGGCCTGGCCAATATGATGAAACCCTGTCTATACTAAAAATACAAAAATTAGCCGGGATTGGTGGGGGCACCTATAATCCCGGCTACTCAGGAGGCTAAGGCAGGAGAATCGCTTGAACCTGGGAGGCGGAGGTTGCAGTGAGCTGAGATTGTGCCACTGCACTCCAGTCTGGGTGACACAGCGAGACTCCATCTCAAAAATAAATAATTTTTTAAAAGTCTTTCAGAGAATGGGGAATGCAGGCTTGGGAGATTTCTGAGTCTGGAAATCAGCTGCAGAGGAGAAACAGAAGAAATACTCATTCCATGAGAGAGGAGTAGAGAAGAGTCAGAGACTGAGGACATGCTTGGCAAGAGGTGGGATGGGGAGAAGCTGGGACCTGGGAAGCAGCAGGGAGTCAGAAGGACATGCCCTTCCTGGAGCTAAGGGAAGACTGTAAAGAAAGGAGGGTGTGATCTGGGGTATCTGCTCCACTCAGGTTAAGGAAAATAAGGTCTAAGAGGGAGCCGCTGGTGGTGATGATGGGTCTGAGGCCTCTCAGGCAGTGTCAGAAGAGAAGGGAGAGTTAAGATCTGGTGACAATCGTAAATGAGGGGTCAGGCCACAGCAAGACCAACACACTCCAAGAAGTTTGCAGCCAAAGGAATGAAGAGAGGCTGGTGGCTGGAGGGGCCATGTGGCAGGATAGGAATAGGGGTTTGAGAGAAGTTCCCAGAATCCTCTGAAGTCAGAGATGGCTCCCACTGCATGTTCCAGCACATTGACAGAGCTCAGGAAGGGGAAATGAATGGATGGGCTTGTGAAAAGGTCACAGGACCGAGGGGTACAGAGCAGCAGATGCAAGCAAGGGCTTTGGGGACAGTCGGAGTTGGCTCAAGACCCGCCTTGGGCAGCCTTCTTTGTGCCTCTTTCCTTATCTGCTAAGTGAGGATATTAACAGTATCTACTTCAAAGGCTGATCAATAAATGACTGATGGGAGGGGGTCGGGGCAAAGTGCTAGATCATCAGAGCCTGTGTGGAAAGTGGGATAGAGAGGGGATACCTGAGCTTTCCCGGCCCAGGAAGGCCTGAGCAAAAATTTCGCCAACCCAGGCCTGCAGCTCCGAATCCTGCTGCACAGATGCATCACTGGGATAATAGTAGCCCACGATTTCTGAGACAAAACTGCAGGAAAGAGATACCAGTGCCACTGGAGTAAACATAGGCTCAGGCCTGGCCGGAAAACCGAGGCCCAAAGCCGCTCAGGTGGCAGAGAGGCAGAGAGCCATGGGGGTTCAGTGGGGACCCCCAGGTGCAGCTGGAATCTGAGTGGCCGGGCTTCCCTTAAGCCTCACTCACTCCTGAGTCATGGATGCTCCACACCTCCTTCCTGCACAAGAGCCTAGGGGGTGGGCAGGAAGTGCACCAAGAGAGTCTGACTCATGCCACCACCCCCTCCCCACTCAGCACCCAGGAGGAAGAGCTGCCTACCCCGAGGCCCCAGCCCATACTTAGCTGATGCATCAGCCCTAATACTGTGACTCCACTGGACACCCCTCCTTCCCCTGCATCCACAAATCCCCAGCCCCACTCTGGACCGCAGCTACCTGCCATCTCAGAGGGGACCCCAAACCCAATTCATACCCTCAAGAATTCCCTATGCTGGGGTGTGAAAACACCTGGAATCCCCAGCCACCTTGAGCACAGGGACCACAGTGCCCCAGGCCAGGAGACCCTGGTGGGACTCCCGGTCCTGCCCCGCACCTCTCAATGGCCGCCCAGATCTTCAAGCCGTCGTCTCGGTAGTAGTAGTTGGGGATAGCCAGGACGCCGCGGGCCCGCAGGCTGTCCGGAAGGCAGAAATTGGTGTAGGTGAAGTGGGCCAGGCCCGTGCTCATGAGGTAGAGGAGGCCCTGCCTCCCGATGGAGGTGACCTGAGGACACAGCACAGCTCGGCTCCCGAGCGGTCCCAATCCCCACCCTAGTGTCTGGGCACGAGATGGGACGGGGGACTCGGCCCAGAGAGGGCCTTCTTCGGTTCATCAAGCAATTTACAACCACGGATCAAATACCCACGAGGGCCTGCCTAACACAGGCTGCGGAGCTTGAGGCCCCATTATGTGCATGAGAGGAGATCCTTAGGTATTTGGTAACTTAAAGAATGAACTGAATGCCAGGGAGCCTGGCTGGGCTCCGGATCAGCTGAAGGTAGTGCTGGGGCTCAGGACGCGGCTGCCCTGCCTGTGGACCCGTAGGGGAGCTAGGGCCCAGGACAGGGCCTGTGAAGGGGGCAAGTGGGAGACCGGCGGAGTGGGCGGGGCTAGGGGAAGAGGCAGGGGTTGTGCAGGTGCTCTCACACCCCAGGTGTCCTCACAAGGGGCTTGGGCGCATAACAGGGCTTGGGGGCGGGTAGCGGGGCAAAGCGTCCTCGGGGGCGGAGCCTCAGGGGCCCGGCAGGGAGGCCGCACCTGGTCCACGAGGCCCTCGGGGTTGAGCAGCGTGGCCCTCGCGATGGTGTTCACCTGCAGCGTATAGCGAGTGTGGGGGAGCAGGAGCTGCGAGCGGGGCGGGTCACGTGAGCCGAGGGCGGGGGACAAGGCCTCCCGGCCCCCGCCCCGCTGGGCCCCCTCCCGGGGTCGCAGACCTTGTAGATGGGGTGGCAGAGCGGCAGCTGGCGCAGCGTGGCCATGGCGAAGGCCTCGCACAGCAAATGCGTGCACAGAAAGTGCGTGTTGTTCTCGTGCACCAGGAACTCAGAGTTGCGCACCCACGTCTTGGCGAGCAGCCAGTCCCAGTCGGAGTCAGTGGGCAGGAAGATGGGGCTGTCGGGCCCGGGGGTCTGGCTGAGCTGCGCCGGAGAGGAACGAGGGATGATGGGGCTCCGGGCTGGCGTTTGGCCCCTTAGGCCCCAACCCGAGGCGGCGGCGCCGGGCTCACCTGGATGGCCAAGGGCACCAGCGCCCCCTGGGGGCTGAGCCACAGCAGGCACAGCGGGGCGGCCACGTACTGCGGGCGGTCGTTTAGGCAGTGGGTGGGGGCCTCCGCCAGGATCCAGTAGTCGGCTAGGAAGATGTTGCCCCTCTGCAGAGGGCGCGCAGAGGTTGAGGGCCCCTCCCCACCGGCGCTCCACTTCCCTCCCGTTTCCCTGCCCACTTCTACCCCAGCTGAGGCCTCAGAAATTCTTGGTGCCTGAATTAATAGCCAACGTGGGGTACCCCGCCCTACCCAGAATGTCCGGAATGAAGTCCAGCTGAGTCCTTCCTTGTGCAAGCGCTAGCCTGCTGGGACAAGCCACTGTCCACTCCTCCTCACCCATACCTAGTCCTTCCCACTCTCAACTCAGATGGAATCCCCTCCTGAGATCTGATCACTCTGTAACCAGCAACAGCTAAATCAGCACGAGAGAACTGACCAACCACGTCTCTAGCTTTCTGGAGGAGAATGCCTGAGGGCTTAGCTGCCCCAAAGAGACTGGGTCAGCTGCTTCTCCTCTGAGCCCTTAGTTCTCTGTGATTTTCCCTGGTGTATCTGGTGGCCCTACCATTGACCTGTCCTAAAACAGCCTCCCTTGGGCCTCAGCACCTCCTCAGGAGGCCCCAAAACAAGAGCAAGTCTTCCTCCAAGCTGTCCGTGCAGCCACCCTGCCTGTTCACCTTTTCACCAGGCCCCTTCTCAGGACTCAAAGCCTCCCAAGCCCCATCTGACCCTCTTCTGCATCTGTTCTACTTAAACTGTGCAGCATCACGGCTGCGCAGAGGATGAGGTCCACAGGTGAGATGCAGCCCGGGCCATTTCCGTACCCTCCACACACATCGCTTGTCCATAATGGTCACACACACACCTCCCACCTATCAGGCCCACTGCCCAGGTCCTTACCCACCTCTAGCTCTGTCTGCAGGCATGTGCTCTGTCCCAGCAAAGGGGCCACCATATCATTGGTGACGGGCAGCTTGCTGGGCAAGCTGGAGATGCAGTGGAGCATGATGGGATTGACGCCATTCAGGTACTGGTACCCGAAGAAGTGATCCTCCCTCCAGTGCTCTGTGACATACTCTGGGGGGGCAAGAGAAGGGAGCAGTTGGTCTAGAAACTACTTCCCTAGATCCTTGGTCCTGCCAAGCCCTTTGCTTATCGTTGTGGTTTAGGTTTTCTTCCCAAAAACTCTTATGAGGTAGGAATCATTACATCTACAATTTAATACTAGACACTAAGGGTCAGAGAGATGGAGCAACTTGCACAGCTGAATGGCAGAGCAGGAATTTAAACCTAAGCCTTTCTGGACCCAAAGCCTGGAGCGCTTGCTGTTTAGAGTAGGCAAAGACAGTCGTGCCCCGATCAGAATCAAGATTCCCTAAATGACTGTCACCCTCTCCCAGGCAAGCAGAGTGTCTCTCTCTCCTGACTCCCCTGTTTTTGTCCCATCCTCAGAGGAGGCGACTTGTCCTCCAGAGGAACCTGGGAGATGCCACCAGTGAAGCCAGGAGTCCCTGGGAGGGCTGGGAGAGGGCCCTTTCCCAGGAAGGGGAGGAAGGGGTCTGAGCCCGAGATAAGGTGAGGGGTAGACAACTCCTGCCTGGCTCTGCTCACTTGTCATGAAGGTCTTGTGGCACCAGAAGATGTTCCGCATGTCATCCAGCTTCTTCCAGGAGCCCTTGCGGTCCAACAGCCCTCGAAGCTTCATTCCCAAGGACCTGATGGTAGAGGAAAAAGTGAGGGTGCGGTCTGGGGGCTGGAGTCTGCTGGGAACCACTGTGTGCCCCTCTGCCTGGAGGAACTGACAGGGTCCATCCCCAGGTAGAGATGCCTAACCACATGGAAGAAAAAGCCTAGTGCCCAGTGGAGGCTCTGTGGCCTCAGGAGACCCTGGTTCACATGCAACCATCCTTAAGATAGGTCACTGCACGCTCACGTAAAGGTAGCACACATGGCCCTACGGTGCAGACAAGCCACCCTCGCTGGTGTCGTGGCCTGTGTTCTCCAAGCTGCCATCTTGTCATGGACCTCCACTGGCTCTCTTCTGCCTACAGGACAGGGCCCCAAGCTGCCAAGCCTGACCAGCCCATGGAGATTCCCAGCAGCCAGTTTCTACGAATCTTTTTCCAGCATTTTCTCCCACCCTGGGCATTAATTAGACAGGGCCACCCAAGACCCAGTCTCCAAACATGATCAGAGACATGCTTTGTACACTGGGTGGTGGAAGTGGGGGTGGCACATGGAGGGACGCACACTCTTCACTTTGTGGATGTCCATACTGTTTGAGTTTTTATAGCGAGCATTATGTTTTTTACTTCTTTTTAAGGTGGGGTCCCCCTGTGTTACCAAGGCTGGAGTGCAGTGCCTGTTCATAGACACAATCAGGCCGGGCACCATGGCTCACAGCTGTAATCCCAGCACTTTGGAAGGCCGAGGCGGGCAACTCACAGGCACGAGTCAGGAGATCGAAACCATCCTGACTGTCTCTACTAAAAGTACAAAAAATTAGCCAGGCATGGTGGCACGTGCCTATAATCCCAGCTACTCGGGAGGCTGAGGCAGGAGAATCGTTTGAATCCAGGAGGTGGAGGTTGCTGTGATCCGAGATCACACAACTGCACTTCAGCCTGGGTGACAGAGCAAAACTCAGTCTCAAAAAAAAAAAGGAAAATAGACACGATCATAGCTCACTGCAGCTTCAAACCTCTGGGTTCAAGCAATCCTCCTGTCTCAACCTCCCAAGTAGCAGGGACTACAGGTGTGCCCCACCATGCCCTGCAACATTATTTTATATTGAGGAGAAAAATGCTTGACATTCAATCAGCTTTCCCCTACTTCCAGGGCTTCATTTAAGCTGTGCCTCTGGTAGAAAGCCATCTACTACATCTCTATGATTAAAATCTATCTGTTCTAGGCACGGCTCAGAAGCAAAGTCCTTTATGGAGCATTGCCTGAACTCCCCCAAAACACATGCCTTGGATCTTTCACACTCTTCAGTCCTCAAATCGTATTGTAAGCCCAGTGAACATATATCATCCCATTATACTATGAGCTCCTCAGGGCAAGGACTTGACTGTGTCTGCCCCATCATACCCAGCTCACAATAGGCACTCACTAAATGGTCTGAATCAAAGGAAAGGGAATGGAGGCTGGGCGCGTTGGCTCACGCCTGTAATCCCAGCAGTTTGGGATGCCGAGGTAGTCCTGAGGTCAGGAGTTCGAGACCATCCTGGCCAAGATGATGAAACACTGTCTCTACTAAAATTGCAAAAATTAGCCAGGTGTGGGGGCACGTCCCTGTATTCCCAGCTACTCGGGAGGCTGAGGTGAGAGAATCGCTTGAACCCGGGAGGCAAAGACTGCAGTGAGCCGAGATCGAGCCACTGCACTCCAGCCTGAGTGACAGAGAGTAAGACTCCATCTCAAAAAAAAAAAAAAACCGGAAAGGGAATGGAACATGAAACAGGTAGGCCTTTGGCAATTGGTCAATAACATAGGACGTACAAAGATGTGATGTGCCCTGAAAGTGTGGGCCCCTGGGGAAGGCAGGATGGCAAGGGGGAATTAGTGATCTGACAGGTCCAGGAACAATGTCACCTGGCTTCCTAAGCACTCATGCACTCACTGTACAAACACTTGCTGGGGGCCTGCCCAATCAACACCCAGTGGGTGGGAAAACCATGAGGAGTTCAATCATGAAATCAGAGGCTGAGGAGTCTGGGGGCAGGGAGAGGGGACTGGGGAGCAGAAAGGGGAGATGGGCGGGAAGGGAAGGAAAGAAGAAAAGGAAGACTGGGGGGCAGGGAGAGGGAATGGGTCCTGAGAGGAGGGACTAGGGCACGGAGGAGGGATACTGGGGATAAGAAAGGGCAGTCTGGGGCAGGAGGAGAGGGATGACTGGGCAGAGGTGTAAGGTGTTCATCAGAGGGGCAGTAGCCTCACGCAGGGATGGCATTGAAGAGCAGTGAGGCTGTCTTGGTGGCTGAGTAGCGAATATTGGGCTCCATGTACAGCAGGGATGGGATGTCAATCTTCATGGGGAAGCCAGGCAGGTACCGATTCCCACTGCTGGGGGTCAGGGGAGAAGAAAGGCAGAAACTAGTCAGTGGGCCCTGCAGCCCATCCCCTTAATTCCTTCCCTCTTTCCTGCCTTCTGAGTCCCCAGGTCTCCCTTATTCCCGGCTCCTCCCCTGCCCTCTCTGCTCCTGACCTAAAGTAACCTCCTCACTCTTGTACCTTCTGCCAGACCCTTTGGGGCCGTCTACCATCCTGACACTTGAATGCAAGTGCACTATCATAGACCCTACCCCTCCTCAGGCTGTTAGGACCCTTCCTCCCAGCACCCCCTCCACTTGACTTCCTTTTCCCTCCTTCCCGAGCTTTAGTCCTCACCTGTCATCCTGGTCTACACAAGTTGTTGTCTTTGTCAAGGCAAATTTCTTGTCTGATTCCATCTCCTGAAAGCTGCTAACGTCTACAATGTGGGGGAAGCCAGGGGCATAGATCTTCCAGCTTCCAAGGGAAAGAGGTCAGAGGTGGCAGGTCAGCTTGGGATAAACAGAAGCCTTAGCTTTAAAGACATGACTTCAGAGGAAAACTTCAGAAACCACCTGCTTTCTGGATAGGTGACAAGGAATGGGACATTTCTCCATGAAAGCACTGGGCTTCATATAAGGGTAGCATTTGAGGAAGGCATTAATGCCCACGCTGGTTTAGAGATGGGTTTGTGTTGAGATTAAAATCATGGCAGTTTAGCAGGAAGGCTGAGAAAGGACTGAGATTGGTGGGAACCTCAGATCACTTCTGCTATTGGGATCTGGGTTACATTGGGGACAGTTGAAGGCTGAGGATGGATCCATTGGTGGTATTAGGACAACTGTTACTACTGGTGTTCTCAGTTCAAGTTCAGGGTCACTATTAAAGCAGGGTTAGGTCTAAATAAGAGTCCTGATCCAAGCTAGGCACCCAAGGTTGAGAATGAGATTAGAGTTAGGAACAATCTGACGAAGGCTGAGGTCAGAATGAAGATGGGGAAAGAAGTCAAATTAGGCCACCCTCACCGATAGCATTCTTGTCGGGCCCGGAGCTCCCGTGTCCTGTGATCCAGGAGGAGGGGAAGGGAGTCCTGACAAACAGTTCTTGCTGTGGAGGATGAAAATTACACTTGGCCTAAGTGTCTTTTCTTTTTTTTTTTTTTTTTTTTTTTTTGGGGGGGAGTTTTGTTTTTTACCCAGGCTGGAGTGCAATGGCACGATCTCGGCTCACCGCAGCCTCCGCCTCCTGGGTTCAGGCAATTCTCCTGCCTCAGCCTCCTGAGTAGCTGGGATTACAGGCAGGCGCCACCATGCCCAGCTAATTTTTGTATTTTTAGTAGAGACGGGGTTTCACCATGTTGACCAGGATGGTCTCGATCTCTTGACCTCGTGATCCACCCGCCTCGGCCTCCCAAAGTGCTGGGATTACAGGCTTGAGCCACCGCGCCCGGCCTAAGTGTCTTTTCAAACAACACCTTCCACAAACCTTGCCTGAACCCCCGACTCTTGGACCCAATCCAACAGCCACAGCCCTGGGAATCACATGGCAATGCCCCCACATCTTTTGCGTATCCATCAGTAGAAGGGATTCAAGACAGACTCACCCCAAATTATAACAACCTTCTTAATCCTTGGCATGTTTATCTCCTCTCCAGACTATAAACTCCTTGAGGGCAGAAGTCGTCTTGTACTTTTTTTTTTTCCTCTGTATTCCCAGCTTCTAGCATGGCGCCTGGCACCATGTATATAACATGCATTTTGTAAATGACTGATGAACAAATATGTTTTGTGAAGCTATAGATGGATGTGCTGTGATGATGGATGGAAGTGCTGAGGGCTTATTTATACTGAGGTCTATGGAAAGCTCATTATGGGCCATGGGGTAATGTTCACTTGCCTTACTTTGACCTAGAATATCCATCCTTCATCCTGAGCCTCCTCCCAACACCCAGAGCAGCCCGACTGTTGGCTCTCCAGATCAGATAGCTCTGGAGACTGAAGGATCTCAAGCCCAGCATCCAAGGAGGGCCCCACAAATTCAACAAGGAACCTAACAGCACCTCACAGGGACTCATCCACACTAGAAAATTTAGGAGTATGGGAGGGAACAGGGCCTCTCCAGCTAAACTCTCTAAGCAGTCAGGGCTTCTCTACCTGTTAAAATCAAATTACTCAGCTTGCAGTTTAGTTACTCTCTGGGGTCCAGAGGAACTGACTCTGGAGAAGAGCAGAGGGAGGCTGTGGAAAGCAAAGTGCTTCCTGTGTGTATGAGAGAAGGGCACATGCCTACATGAGTGTGTGTGTCTGTGTGAGTCTCCAGAGGAGTTAATATCGTCTGGAAAGCCCTCGCATTTCAGGGCTTGAGAGGCTCACTTATTTTTTTTTTTTTGAGATGGAGTTTTGGCTCTTGTAGCCCAGGCTGGAGTGCAATGGCGCCATCTCGGCTCACCGCAGCCTCCAGCCTCCACCTCCCAGGTTCAAGCAATTATCCTGCCTCAGCCTCTGGAGTAGCTGGATTACAGGCATAGGCCACCATGCCTGGCTAATTTTGTATTTTTAGTAGAGATGGGGTTTCTCCATGTTGGTCAGGGTGGTCTCGAACTCCCAATTTCAGGTGATCCGATTTCAGTTGTTGTTTTTGTTTGTTTGTTTGTTTCAGAAAACATCTACTTGGGACCCCAGAGTTTCTGACCCTAATCTTATTCCCTTCACTCAGGGGCTCTGTGAGACCCCACTCCGAATCCCAAAAGACACCTTCTGCAGTACAGCACAGCTCTCGTCCCTGCCCACCTGTTCCTGGCCGCAGCTCCACGGTGCAGTAGCCCTCAATCCACTGATAGCAGGGGAAATGGGACACCGTACCATCCGGTTCGGTGACACAGATGCGGCTGCAGTACCAAGAGTCCTTGCGGAAGAAAGCATAGCGCTCCTTGTGTACACGCAGCAGCAAGAGCTCACCCAGCTCCGCTGAGCAGCGGACCTTGTACTTCTGTACCTGAGGGGACCAAGAGAGCAAGCAGGTGAGAGGCGGGAAACTGCCAAGGCGATCCTTGCATCTTGCAAGGTGCATCTACACCTAAGCCTATTCGAACACACAAACCTGATCTGCTGCCAGCCCACACCGGGCTTTTCTATGAATTAGAAAAAGGTGCCTGGACATGGCGCGGGTGGCTCCGTCTGTAATCCTAATACTTTGGGAGGCCGAGGCGGGAGGATCACCTGAGGTTAGGAGTTTGAGATCAGCCTGGCAGACATGATGAAACCCCGTCTCTACTAAAAATACAAAAAATTAGTCCGCCGTGGTGGGGGCACCTGAAATCCCAGCTACTCAGGAGGCACAGGCAGAAGAACCGCTTGAACCTGAGAGGTGAAGGTTGTAGCAAGCTGAGATCAAGCCACTGCACTCCAGCCTGGGCAACAGGAGCGAAGCTCCATCTCAAAAAAAAAGAAAAAAAGAAAGAGAAAAAGGTGCCTGAGCACAATGGGTACTGCATTTCACTAGCTTCCTAGGAGGGCTGGGAACCCTTGTGAAGGCCATCTGGGGCCTTCAGGGCTGGCAGAGGCAGGCAGATCCCCCCTCCAGGTAAGAGGAAATCCAGGCTCAGAGAGGAGAAGCAACTTGCCCAAAGCCCACTGTCAATTACGGGAGGAGTTTAGAAGTCAGAGAGTCTCTCTACTCTCCGCCCAACCCTCCTTCCTCTCCACAGTCCTTCCTGGATGGAGTTTATCATCTCCAGAAAAGACAGGAACCTCGATGGGGAAGGTCGGGAGGTCAGGGCCAGTATCCCGAGTTCAGAGAATAGCACCAGTCTAGGAGGAATGCTCCTCCTGCCTCGGTTTCCCCTACGGGAAACCGCCCCTCAGAGGTCGCGTTTCCCTCTCTCCTTTGTACTCACCGACCCCGGGGCGAGGTCCCTGCCCATTCGATCTAGCCGCTGCTTGGGGCTCTCACCACACGTGCCCACCAGTGTGACAGAGATGTTGTCCAGTGTGCCGGCCTTCAGGTAGGGACCAGTGGTCACACACAGGCGGTACACTGCCATGATGGGAGGGAGGAAGTGCTGCCCCCGGCAACGCTGGCCACAGCAGCAGCCGGCCTGGAGGAGGAGAGCGGCGGGTCGGACACGGCTGGGCTTCTGGGTGGAGGGCTAGGGGCTGCGGGGTAGGATAGGGCTGAGAAAGGGCCCAGCTCTCTCCGGGATGCTCCTGGGCTCTCTCCGAAACTCCCTGCTGGAGGCTCGGGCTCCCTCTCCCCGCCCACACTCTTGCACTCTAATACTTGTTTGCTTGCCTCCGACACAGCCAGTCCCTCTGGCTGGCTCACCCAGATGGATATCAAGAGCCTGGGTTCCACTGCGGAGGGAGGACCCCGCTGCTGAGACAGAGACAAGGAAGAGGTGACGCCTGTATAATTGGGACACTGCCCTCCGCCTGGTCAGTGGCCCGGATTGATGCCCTACAGTGCTTGTCCGCCCACTCCCTAGTGTCCCCCAAGACCCGCTCCTCCCTTTTCCCAGGCGGAGCTGAGCACAGGGCACATGCATTCCTACCTGTGAGTCATCCGTGTGAATCACTGAACAGTGGAGAGCTGCAGTCAGTCATAAATCACACGCGACTACAGCCACACGCAGGTGAGTCGCGCACTCAGAGCCCCTGTCACCCCATACACCGATCCCCCCACACCTGGCCCTCTTTGTCCTCAGCCTTTGTCCTGAGCCCGACCTCAGTCTGTGCTCTGGAGTAGAGCCAGTCAGGAAGACGAAATACAGCGCCGACACGCAGCATCTGAAGGCCCCGCGTGTCATTCTTTCCTCTCCATACCGCCCTGAGCCTGCGGGACCCTGGGCAGGAGCCCGGGTGTCCGGGATCTGGGCCACAAGTGGCTAGGGATGAACCTCTAGGAGAGGGAAGCCCAATAGCCCGCGGCGGCCCCGCGCGGCCAGTTCTGGAGCCGCATGGTTCCAGCCGCCACAATGCTCCAGTCCCTGCGTCCCAGCCTAGGCTGGGGCTCTAAAGATGGGAGTCAGAGAAAGCACAATCAGCAGCAGGCGGGCTTCACTCGCTGACTCTGAATCTGTGCCAGAATAATCTGCTTAGGTATACACAATCCTCTCTCAGTTCTACAAGCCTGGATTTTCATACAGAGAACTCTCTTATAGGCAAGGAGCAAAGCCTACCGGCAGAGCCCGGATAGCTCAGTCGGTAGAGCATCAGACTTTTAATCTGAGGGTCCAGGGTTCAAGTCCCTGTTCGGGCGCTTCCTTTTTCGCTTTTGGATTACCGCACTCCTTCGCATGAAACAATGGAAAACGGTAATAAAAAAGGTTACTACTTTTTAAAATTAAGTGAGACTGAAACTTGGTTTCCACAAAATAGAGCAAATGACGGTGGAGGGTAATAAATATACTTTAAAGCTGTATCTTCGAATTCAATTTTTCTGGTAGCCACACTACAAGGAGTTAAAAGAAACAAAATTAATTTGACGGATCTATTTTACTTAACCTAATATAATCAACATTTTTTACTTATTAATGAAATTTTAAGTCTTTTTGTTCGTACAAAGCCTTCCAAAGAAGATGTGTATTTAGAAGCTGGCGATACATCTGAATGTATATATTTCAAATGCTAGATAACGGTGTCTATCATATCCAACAGCAGATTTTGTTTTGTTTTTGTTTTAAGTGGAGGCTATGGAAGACGCGCAGAATAGAAACTCCAGTAATGTACATAATCTCGAAAATAATGAGCAAGGAGGTTCCATGGTGTAATGGTTAGCACTCTGGACTCTGAATCCAGCGATCCGAGTTCAAATCTCGGTGGAACCTTAGAGTTTTTGAATACCAGTAAGCTGTTGCACACTATTAGTTGATTTTCACACAGAAGATAACGCCTATGACCCAAGAGAATCCGGGAAAAAAAAGTAAACTCGGACACTACCAATTCTTTGTGCTTTTCATACCAGGTAATTGGGCCCTATAGCACAGTGTAAAGAGAACATACAATAAAGTATTTAAATATGTTGTAAGTTGAGCTAACATTTGAAAACATGTTAAAATAGAGATGTTACGAAGAAACGAAATGTTTCAGCAGTTACTCTCAGGTCTTAGCTTTAGGGATGGAAGCAGGCATACATGTGCCTAGAAGACCAAACGCGGAAGATGATGGTGAAACAATTTCCAGGGAAATTCATAAAATTACATGCTGCATGTATAAATAGTAGTTAGTAGAACCTAATGGAATTATATCACGTGCTTTATCCACGAGAAAAACTCCAGCCTGGCAGCGGTGGGATTCGAACCCACGCCTCCGAAGAGACTGGAGCCTAAATCCAGCGCCTTAGACCGCTCGGCCACGCTACCTGCGTGAAAGATAATTTTCCCGTTGTCCTCCTAAGAGACTAGAAGTAAGGAGTGGGGCTAAGCGGATGCTGCCAAATTTGATCCATCTCCTTTTCCACATTTTTCAGACGGGGAACCATTGAGACTCTGGATCGCATAGCAGCAGATGCCAGAACAGATAAACAAGAAGACACAGAAACACACTGAAATTTACAACAAAACTAGTTTATTTGGGTGAGACTACATCTGGGAGTGGGGTGCGCCTGAGCCGGAAGCACCCCCCCAAGTGGGCAGCCGGAGCTCTACACTCGCTCGCTCACTCATTTTCGGGTGCTCTACCTCCCTATTTTTTCGACCTATATGCGCCCTCTCTCTCACCTGGCTAACCTGCTTTGCGCTCGCTACCTCTACCTGGTTTGGCCTCTGAGATCCAAACCGCGCGCTCCTGGCACGTCCCACCCAAGTCCCTTACCTCCACTCCCCCACCCTGCCCTTTCCTATTCTAGTACCCGTAAGCTACAAGACGCCGCTGACTGCCGGTTGGCTCTGTGGCGCAATGGATAGCGCATTGGACTTCTAGTGACGAATGGAGCAATTCAAAGGTTGTGGGTTCGAATCCCACCAGAGTCGATTTTATTTCAATTTTTCTTTTTTTTCCGTTTTGCTCAAAGGCCGCCATCCCTTCTCCCCCTACCCTATCTCTCTCTTTTTCCACCTGGTTTCAATTTCGATCTCAGTCCCCCCTCTGCTCTCTTCTTTACTTACCTGTCTGCCCCGGGGCTTGGGCCATGGAGAGCAGGACTGAGGGTGGGAGACAGAAGGGAAGGGAAAGTGGGCGTGGACGTCGAGATAAAGGCAGGCCCCTGGCTCCGGGACACACGGGGATTTAATAACCACTTTATTCCATGCACTAGGGACTCGGGAAGGGACTAGGACTGGGCTGGGGGCAGAGAGAGTACAATCCTAGACGCAAGGGAGAAGTTAGGGCAGGGAAAAGGGACAGGAACCAGGGAAATATATATTTATATAGACACTCTAATATAGACCACATCTCACTCGCGCGCTGAGCCCGCGCGCCCCGCCGCCCTCCTGCTCTTCCGGACGCCCGGGTCCCTCTGCTGCCCTCGGGCTGGAGTCTCTACTCCACCCCTAGACCCCACCCCCCCCACACCCCCAAGGCTCAGGGCCAAGGTCTCCAGAAAGCGGGCGGCGGGGGCGGCGGGGCCTTGGGCGCCCCGTCTTGTCTGTGAGGCGGCGGTGGTGGCGGCGGCAGCAGTCCGGTGAGGGGCGCCGGCGCGCCAGAATCCCCGGCGCGGGGGGAGCAGAGGGATGGGGACCATGCGCAGCGCGGGCTAGGGGGGCCCTGATGCACTGGGGGGCGCTGGTGCAGCGCGGGGCCAAGGGCCGGTGCGGCGGGGTCCAGGGATGGGCGAGGCGCTGGAGGCCTCGGATCTACCGGCTCGGGCCGGGGCGGTTTGGGGCGCAGGTAGCCATGCAGCGCGGAGAAGAGCTGGGCGCGGGCTGCCGGGCTGGCGTCGTGCGCGAAGGCCGCCAAGCGAAGCAGGCATTCGCGGAAACCGGACAAGTAGCAGCTGGCGAGCGCCTCGGCGTCCTGGACTGGGGACCGGGGAACCCCTGGAGCCGCGGCGGCGGGTGCGGCCGACGGGAGCACAGGTGGGCAGGGCAGGGGCCCAGCAGGGGTGAGGGAAGGGGCGGGGCGCAGAGATACCAAGGCCGGACAGGCGCACAGAGACAGGAAGCCAGATGGACGGAGAGAGGGAGAAAATGAGGGAGACAGAGACAGACACGCGCGGGTGTTATTAACCTCGCCTCGGAGCAGAACCGGCCACTCCCCAAGCCCACCATTCACTATAGGGCCCGCCCGCTCTGCCCTGGCGCCAGCCTCCTGGCGTCCCCCCTCCCTCCCTCCGCTGCCCCACCCCCGCGCTGTACCCGGGGGCTCCACCCGGCTTCGCTCCCTCAAGTAGCCCACGGCGAACTCCAGTATCTCCGCTTTCTCCAGCTTCGGGTTCCGGAGGTTCTACAGACGGGAGGGGAGGGCGCAGAGACAGAAAGGGGTGGGGAGAAAGGGGGAAAGTGGCAGGGGGAAGAAGGGAGGGGCGGATGCGGGAGCTGGGGGGTGCCCCCGATCGCATTTGCGCACTGCCTTGCCCACACAACGCGAGGCCAAACGCGGAGTGGAGATGACCAAGGAAGGTCCTGGCCCCACCCTGAGACGAAATTGTCCAACCCGAGGGGATGGAACCAATGCCTAACGCGTGAGGAGGAAGATTTGAAACCGCAACCCAGGAAATGAAATTAACCACCCGACAGAACAGAAGCTGGCTGATTCCGGGAGTGTGGGGGAGGGGGAAGCGGACATTTAGAGACCCACAGGGTGAAGCTGACCGACCCCCGGAGCGAAATTTACAGAACCAGGCGTTAAACTTACAGACCCGAGGGGTGGCGAAGAAGATCGCGTTCTGGGAGCGAGTGGGGGTCTGGGATGGAATTCCAAAGGCGGGACTCGGGTGAGGATGCCTTGGGACCAGGGTTGTCAACCAAGCATGTGTCCCCACCCCAGTGGGAAGCCCTGGGACGCAGAAACGGGAAGCCTGGGGACCCGGGGCTAGCGGAGGGACTGACCTGGTCCCGGGTCCGCTCCAGCAGCAGCAGCCTCAGCTCTTCCAGGCTGCGGTTGATGCGGTCCCGGCGCCGCTTCTCCACAAGCGGCTTCAGCATCTGGGACCAGCGGGAAAAGGAGAGCGGGCCGACCGGACCGAGACTCAGCGCAGCCGCGCCGGCGTCGGATCCCGCCGCTGGGAGAGCCCGGCTTCCACCCCGACCCCCATACCCCAGATTGCCTAGGGCCGGCTCCATTCAATCCCTCTCCGCTCCCCCTCCCAATGCCCCTAGATCAGATCAGTTTCTGTAGCTCGCCTCCCCGAGTCTTCGCATTCTCCTCTCTCAGTCTCGTCCTCCCTCCTCCCCTCTCTGTGTCTCTCCTCTTTCCTCTCTACGTCTCGGTCTCGGGCAATCTCTCTCTGTCTCAGTGGAGAACTTTGGGGACCCTCTGCGCGCAGGCACGTGGGCCGCACGATGCCGGGCTCAGAGCTGGCGGCGCTGAGTATAGAAAGGGAGATACCTAGCGCGACTGTGCCTCCTCTTCTCCCTCAAAACCGTCTAGGCCGTCATCCTTCTCGACTGGTTCTCCTAAAATCTTCCATCAGTCTGGGGCCTCTGGAACCAATGCCCCGGGGCCTTCTCTACAAGACCGCCTTGGGCCAGCCCCTCCTGGCTCATAGCCAGCGTAAAGCAAGTGCCTATCCTCTTCTCTTTTCGTTCCCACCCTCCTCCCTTGGCTCTGCCCTCTACTTGCTTATTTTACTCCAACACCGGCCCCCTCCCACGCCCTCCAGGCCACAAGATGCTGATCCCCATCACCGAGGCCCCTAGACCTCTGTTTCCGCCGCCCACTCAGGTCTGGCTCTGACCCCTGTCCCCTTCTTCATACTTTGCAGCTTTCTCTGCAGCTCCTAGCTCCTGGAGTCCTGGAGCACTGCTCTCCTTCCAGCCCTGCGTCCCCAGCCTCTCTCCAGACCGATGGCGTCAAGGCCCCGGTCCCCTGGCCAAACCAGGGACTTCTGCTCCATCCCCTCCCGCATCTCACCTTGGGGCCGTCCCTGTTCTCAGCTCGATCCCGGGTGACCATTGCTCCTCCGGACCCTCGTGTGGACCGGGTCCCTGCTCGCCTGGAGTCTTATATTCCGCGGCGCCAGAGTAGGAGGGATAGGACCCGACCCCGCCCCCTTCGACACCCGGATTCTGCCCTTCTAGGACCCGGCACGAGGCTCCCGGAAAGAGGAGGAGTGAAGGGGGGAGGGGAAGGAGAGAAACTGGCCTGGGAGTGTGGGAAGTGAGAAGCGAAAGGGGGCACTGGCTGGTTACGGACCGTAAGGCTGTATAAGGAGGCAGGACCCAGCTGAAGAGAGGAGGCTATTAGGGGCAGAGCTCGCTTGGGGATGATATTCAGAGTTCCTCCAGAATTGTAGCTTTCTTGGAGGCTTACTGTACCCTCACTAACCCTGAAACAGAAGTCAGCACCTGTCGGCCCCCAGGCTGAAGTTTATACATCTCCGAAGTTCGCTTCCTAGTCGAGACAGGGAGCAACCCGAGTGTGCTGGGTGAATCCGTCCGACTCAACCGAAGCTCTCCCGGGAGGTGGGAGAGGCGCTCTGTTCTAAGTTAGTTACATTCAAGTCCCCATACATCTGCGCTCTCACTGTGCGGACAGGGTACTAGCCTAGGCTTGGGCGAGTCACAGTGAGTTATGCAGGACAGACCCAGCTTATCCCTGCAGGATCTAGTGGAAAAGACCATGTGACATGAAGTAGCTATTACAGAAGCCCAGTGAAGTATGTGCTCCGGGAAAAGGTCTCCTTGAGAATGGCTGGACTGAGGGGGGAACTTCAAGGCAGAGGACGCAAGTCTTTGAAGCACAGATAAGAGTAGAGAGGTCTATCCACTTACAGTACAAGTATTTGATTCAAAACTAGTCGTAGGAGATTCAGGAGTGTGACTGATGGGATACCTCACGCAAGTGTGCCCGCACTGCTTGCTGCTGGAGGTCCCTGGTGACGGAAGGGTAGCAGGGAGCAGGCAGTTTTACTAAAGGGAAAGCAAGAGATACAAAAAAGGAATCAACACCCACCTCAAACCAAGAGCATGGCCCTCCGTACTCGGGGGCTTCAGGACAAAGTGCCTGAGAAGATAAATCAGAAATTCAACAGGACAGCCAAGTTGCCAGGGACAAAGACATGGAAAGACAGGGCTGCAGACCGAGACGGAAGATAGCTGTGCAGTCAGAGACCAGTGGGGTTTCCTCCAAGCCCTCCCAACGGCCCTCTGCACCTTGCTTTTGTCACGGAGCCTTTCTTGCCAAAGCTCGAGCTGGGAGAGGCACAGACCTTGAGGGGGCTCCCATTTGGGACCAGGGGCCCCAGCACATCCCACTTCTCCGTCCCTCAGCCAAATGGGAGCGCAAATGTGTGGCCCCAACAGCCCCCGCCGCCCCCCTCCTTGGGAACCTGGGCTCGGGCTGAATTTTTCTCACCTGCACGCGAGGCTGGGGGGCCCGGGCTGTTCGCACCCGGGTGTGGGGCCGCCCCTGGCCATATGGGGCAGCTTTATGGCCCGGTGGCCGGATCTGGACGGGAGGAAGAATGACCTGGCGCTCCACCCACGTCAACCATTCGGGACCAGTTCCCTGGCCTCCTCCGCAGTTGCCTAGCCGGGTTCTCCTCAACCTCTTACAACTTTAGATGGATCGTGGCACACTCGACAAGCCACGCATTGGTGGTTCAGTGGTAGAATTCTCGCCTGCCACGCGGGAGGCCCGGGTTCGATTCCCGGCCAATGCAGGAGTCTCGTTTTCTTTCCTCTTCCCCCAAAAGAGAATAATACATTTGGTAGCATTTCTAACAAGCATCTTCGTTTAAATATTTATACCAAATATTAATCTTAGCCTTTTGACTATAGCAGAGTTTGCAACCCAGGCTTAGACCCTGTTTCCGCACGCCCTCACACTCCCCTCCTCCCAGCCTGGGGTTCCTGCAACCTCCACACCCCTCCCTCCGCCCCCAGCCCTCACCTCCACAGGCGTGACCCTGAGAAAGGACGCAGTGCTCGGATCCCTACCCCGGGGGTCCTCTGGGGCCCCCGCAGAGGAGGGGCTAGGTCTCCCCGCCCCCCACTCTAAAGCCCTTGTTCTTACCACCTGTCTTCCTCTGTTATTTTCCGTTCTCTCTGAAGTACGCTTCCTTTTCTTAAGTCTGTGGGTCTGGGTCTTTCTTGTGTCGCCGCCTTTCCGGGTCTCTGAGAGCCTCTTAGCTTCTCCATCTCTGTATCACTCACGTTCTTTCAAGGTCTCCAGAGGCTTCAGCCCTGGGTCTCTCTGGGTCTCAGTGGTCTCGTGTCTTCGCATCTCTGACTCCGCGTCTCTCCGGTCTCTTGGCGTCTGCATCTCCGCCTCTGGCTCTTTAGAGTCTCTGGTATCTCTCGTCGTCTCTCCGAGTCTCTGTCGCGTCCCGGGACTCTGCGCTCCCACGCTCCTGCCATCCCCTGGGAAGCTCGCTCACACCTCCAGGTTCCTGCCACCTCCCCTCCCCGCCCCTTCCCGGCCGCTTTGATCCCGCACGCGTCGGGCCCGAGGGCTGGCAGGCGGGCGCACCGCCACCTACAGAGACCACTTGCGAGCGGGGCGGGGCGGGGCGGCGGGGCGGAGCGGCGGGGATCCCCGCGGTCCGCTCCCTTCCGGCGCGCTCCGCCTTCCTCCGCGCGCCTCCTCCTGGCTCTGTCCGCTGTCCCTGCCGGGGCCCTTGGGCTCCAGGCTCTGGTTCGCTGAGTGAATCTGGATCTCCACCTTAGTCTATCTGGGTCTCTCTGAAACTCACCCTGGAGCTGTCTCTCCCGTTTCTTTCAGCCTGTTTCATTTGCTCCAGGGTCTGGGTCTGTCTTTGGATTGTATCTCTTCTCAGCTCTAGGTAGTAATCGTGACCTCCAGAAGGAAACTGTAAAACAACCCGTGCATCTATCTATATGCCTGTGTGCGCAGCTGCTGGATTCATTCAGTCAGCCCATATTTATGGGGTGCCTCCTGTGTGCCGAGTACTGTAAGGAATACATTGGGTCTGGGCCCTCCTGAAGCTTACATTACAGTGGGAAAGACAGTAACTACTAAAGCAGAAAATAACATGATAGCTTCAGATGATTATAAGGCTGTAAGAAAACAGTAACAATAAAAGGGTCGTGGCGATGACTTGAAAGTGAAGGGCTACTTTACTGTAAGTGCCCAGAGACAGCCTCTATGAAGAGGGGATATTTGATGCCAGCACAATCAGCAGCCTTGGGTCTAGGCAAAAGGAACTGCACGTACAGACAGACTCTGAGGCAGGAGAGCTATTTGCTGGTAGGAGCTGGAGAAAGAGGGCCAGGGAACCCTGGATGGAGAATTTGCAGAGTGGCAGAGATCAGATTGGAGAGTTAGGCGTGGCCCATCCCATAGGATCTTGGAGAGCACTGAAGGAGTTTGGATTTTAGTCTAAGGGCAATTGGAAGCCAGTGGAGGATTTTCATCAGGAAAGTTATATTATCTGACTTATGTTTTAAAAAATCACTTTGGGCCACACGCGGTGGCTCACGCCTGTAATCCCAGCACTCTGGGAGGCCGAGGTAGGTGGAACGCTTGAGCCCAGGAGTTCAAGACCAGCCTGGCCAACATGGTGAAACCCAGTCTCTACAAAAAGTACAAAAGTTAGCTGGGATTGGTGGTATCCACCTGTAGTCCCAGCTACTTGGGAGGCCAGGGCAGGAGAATCACCTGGAAGGCAGACGTTGCAGTGAGCTGAGGTCTCGCCACTGCACTCCCAGCCTGGGCGACAGACCCAGACTCTGTCTCAACGAAAAAAAAATTTGCCGGGGGTGGTGGTGCGCGCCTGAGAGGTGGAGGTTGCAGTGAGCCAAGATCATGCCACTGTACACCAGCCTGGGCAACAGAGCAAGACTCTAGATAGGTAGATACTGTCTAGATGGATGGATCGATCGATCAATAGATAGATAAAATTAAAAGATCACTTTGGCTGACATTTGGAGAATGAAGACAGAGGGCACATTTTGGGGGCTGGAGCAGTTTTCTAAGCACTGACTGCCTTGAGGTGGTGGTGGGAAGAGAAGACATGAAGGGGTTACTCCTAGATTATTATTGGCTTAGGTACAGTCATGCATTGCTTAACGTGTGGATATATTCAAAGAAATGCATCACTAGGCAATTTCATTATTCAAGCATCACAGAGTGTAGTGACGCAAACCTAGAGGGTAGAGCCTTCTACACACCTAGGCTATACCATCCAGCCTACTGTGCTCCTAGGTTACCAACCTGTACAGTTACAGCACGCTACTGTACTGAAAACTGCAGGCAACTGTAACACAATGGTGTTTGTGTATCTAAGCATAGAAAAGGTAATGGGTGGCACCACAATGTCATGACAGCTATGCCATCTTTTGGCGATAGGAATTTTTCAGCCCCGTTATATATATATATTTTTTGAGACAGAGTCTCACACTGTCACCCGGGCTGGAGTGCAGTGACCCCATATTGGCTCACTGCAACCTCCGTGTCCTGGGTTCAAGCAATTCTCCTGTCTCAGCCTCCTGAGGAGCTGGGATTACAGATATGTGCCACCATGCCCGGCTAATTTTTGTATTTTTAGTAGAGACGGGGTTTCACCATTTTGGTCAACCTGGTCTCGAACTCCTGGCCTCGTGATCCGGCCGCCTCGGCCTCCCTAAGTGTTGGGATTAGAGATGTGAGCCATCATGCCCGGTCTTTTTAAAATTCTCACTCCGTCCCAGGCTGGAATGTAGTGATGTGATCTCCGCTCACTGCAAACTCTACCTCCCCCTCCCGGGTTCAAACAGTTCTCCTGCCTCAGCCTACCGAGTAGCTGGGACTACAGGCGCACGCTGCCACCCCCGGCTAATTTTTTGTATTTTAATAGAGATGGGGTTTCACCATGTTGCCCAGGCTGGTGTCGAACTCCTGAGCTCAGGCAATCCGCCTGCCTCAGCCTCCCAAAGTGCTAGAATTACAGGGGTAAGCCACCATGCCCGGCCTTTTTTATATATATATACGGAGTCTTGCTCTGTCACCCAGGCTGGTGTGCAGCGATGAGATCTTGGCTCACTACAACCTCCGCCTCCTGGGTTCAACCGATTCTCCTGCCTCAGCCTCCCTAGTAGCTGGGACTACAGGCGCACACCACCACACCCGGCTAATTTTTTATTTTATTTTTATTTCATGTTATTATTTTATTAAATTTTATTATTTTTTTGAGATGGAGTCTTACTGTGTCGCCAGACTGGAGTGCAGTGGCGCCATCATGGCTGACTGCAACCTCTTCCTCCTGGGTTCAAATGATTCCCCTGTCTCAGCCTCCCCAGAAGCTGGGATTACAGGCGCTCTCCCCAAGCCCGGCTTTTAAAAAATATATATTTTAGTAGAGACTAGATTTCACCATATTGGCCAGGATGGTCTTGATCTCCTGACCTCAAGTGATCTGCCCGCCTTGGCCTCCCAAAGTGCTGGGATTACAGGCGTGAGCCATTGCACTCCACCATCCCCATTATAATCTTAGCAGACCACCGTGATATATGCAGTCCCTCATTGACCAAAACGGTGTTATGCAGCGCAAGACGGTAACTAGGTAGATGGTGATGGTGGCTTTTAACTGGGATGGGAAACTGTGGGGTAGGGGAGAGGTTTAAGAAGAGAAATCAAGGCCGGGCGCAGTGGCTCACACCTGTAATCCCAGCACTTTGGGAGGTCAAGGTGGGTGGATCATGAGGTCAGGAGTTTGAGACCAGCCTGACCAACATAGCAAAACCCCATCTCTACCGAAAATACAAAAATGAGCTGGGGTGGGGGCATGCGCCTGTAATTCCAGCTACTCAGGAGGCTGAGGCAGGAGAATGGCCAGGAGGCGGAGGCTGCAGTGAGCCAAGATCCTGCCATTGCACTCCAGCCTGGGCAACAGAGCCAGACTCCGTCTCAAAAAAAAACGGAAGAGAAATCAAGCATTATACTTTAGCCATATTAGTTAAGACATCCTTGCCAGGCGTGATGGCTCACATGTAATCCCAGCACTTTGGGAGGCTGAGGCAGGTGGATCACGAGGTCAGGGGTTTGAGACCAGCCTGGCCAATATGATGAAACCCCCTCTCTACTAAAAATACAAAAATTAGCGGGGTGTGGTGGCGTGCACCTGTAGTCCCAGCTAGCTACTTGTGAGAATGGCTTGAACCCAGGAGGCAGAGGTTGCATTGAGCCTAGACTGCGCCATTTCACTCCAGCCTGGGTGACAGAGCAAGACTTCATCTCAAAAAAAAAAAAAAAAAAAAAAAAAATCAGAGTAGAGGTCACACATATGCTAGGGGTGTACAAGTGTGGGAATCAGAACTGGAGGGTAAATATGCTAGAGTGATTGGGAGATGGATGCCTTTTAGTGCTACAAGACTGGAGCACATAGAGAGAAAGTGTGGCGAGAAAAGGCAGGCTAGGCGACAGCGTGAGACTCCATCTCAAAGAAACAAAACAAAAAAAAAACCAGGCATTTAAAGTTTCAATGCAACTGGTAAAGACCAGTCTCTTTCTACTCTGGTTGATCCTGCTGCCCCTCCATCACATTGCCACTCGCCTCCAGTGTTGGAGTGACTGTGAGCATTTTGAGGGGTCTAGCTGTGGTGGTGAGTTGGATTTGTGGAATACATTTAGATGATTGACTTGTAGTCACTTCCATATAGAGCTGGTTTTTTGGTTTTGGGTTTGGTGGTTTTTTGTTTTTTGTTTTTTGTTTGATTTTTGTTTGAGACAGAGTATCTTGATCTGTCTATCCCCCAGGCTGAAGTGCAGCGGTGAGACTGCAGCCTCAGCCTCCAGGGCTTAAGCAATCCCCTCACATCAGCCTCCAGAGTAGCTGGAACAACAGGTGTGCACCACCACACCCAGCTTTTTTTTTTTTTTTTTTTTTTTTGTAGAGATTGGGGTCTTACCATGTTTTCCAGGCCGGTCTCAAGAGATCCTCCTATCCTGGCTTCCTAAAGTGCTAGGATTACAGGCATGAGCCACAATACTCAGCCAATATTGAGTTGTTAGCCTCCTCATCCAGGGTGGGAATGGCTGCCAGGGATGCTCCTAACCCTGTGTCCAATCACTATGCTTCAGGCTGTAAGTGTGCTGGGCCAGAGGGCACATGTGATGTGAGTATATTTGATGACTCTTGACATTATAAGTACATCGGTGGTAGAAGAGAAACAAGATTTGAATATAGAGAGTTAACAGCCAGTCTATGGAAAATGTTATAGAGGTGTGTGGGGAGCTAATGAATACAATTTTCTGCCTGGATACAGAGGCTCATGCCTGTAATCCCAGCACTTTGAGAGGTCAAGGCAGGTGGATTGCTTTGAGACCAGCCTGGGCAACATGGTAAAACCCATCTCTGCTAAAAATACAAAAAAAAAAAAAAAAAAAAAAGACAGTTATGGTGCCTGCTCCTGTTTCAGCTACTTGGAAGGCTGAGGTGAGAGAATCACCAGAGCCGGGGAAGTCGGGGCTGCAGGGAGCTGTAATTGTGCCACTGCACTCCAGCCTGGGCAACAGGAGTGGGATCTTGTCTCCAAAAAAAAACAAGAAAGAAAGAAAATAAAAA